ATATAGAGCCAGAGATTTAACAGCAGCTTCCAGAGATTTGGCAAAACCTCACACACTGTAGAGCATTCAGATTTTTTCTAGTGAGATTCACTGCTTTTGCACTATTGACAAACATGTCAATCAAAACTAAGGCAGACAGTGTAGAACAACATGATTATTAGCATGTTTGATTGCAGGCTTGCTTGTACTGGTCAGAGTGGGGCTGAAGGCAAAGAAATTTCTGCTAAAAGGAGCCCAGGATTTTTGTATCTACCACGCAGGTAAATCAAGAGTTGCTTCTAGTAGTCATGGCATCATCGTGCTCTGCAACTCGGTTTCTGCCCCTTACGTGCTTTTTGCCAGTTAGGTAGAGAGTACTTATTTTCTCATGTCTCCCCCAACTCCAGCACAATCACTGACCTTCCAGTTGCATTAAAAGATTGTAAATTGGTTTATGCTGGACTTGTGCATTATCACCTGCTGTCAAATGCTGATAGGGCTGGGCAGCTTCAAACATGCCTTAGCAAAGCAATTTGTTACGTTGTCACCTTGTTAGGAAGCACTTACTATCTCTAAGAACAAGTGCAACAGGAATGCTTCTTGAAAGAACTACAGCAGAACAAGTGGCTTTCAGCCTTTCTTTAGGGTTTGCAGAGCCCTGTGTGGTTTTTAGCAAAAACACCGAGTCCTTTGTAGCACACACAAGCCTAACAACATACTTCCTTTTCTGAGCAATCCTGTAGAAGCACTCCACAGGCCCTAAGCTGAAAGATGCTAAAAGAAATGTCCATCTAAAACAAGAAAGAAACACAAGAGGCTTCACAAGAACACAACTGTAGTGGCTTACACCAAAGCTTTGTTTGCCTAGAGTACTGTCCCAGCTTCCAAACACTTTTAACAGGGATTTTCTCAGCCTAATGTGGTCTATTTAGTAACCCTCAATAGAGTTCTCTGGTAAGTATTCCTCGTCTCTTGAGCTAGAATTGTTTTGCATCCACAACATCCTTGACCTAGTAGTTATGCCAAGGCATGGAAAACCAGCTAGTTAGATTTGATAAACCAGGTTCCTGGATTGGCTGAGACAGCAAACAGTTGGTACATATCCCTTACACAGACTGAAGCATTAGAGCCTACCTAGTTCTTTGCAATGGCTGTAGTCCAAGTCTTTGACCATGCCTGTTGTCCTCTTTGAACCTTTCTGAGTTTTTCAGTATTCTTTTAGAAATGACAGGCTGTCAGCTGCATTGAAATGTTTTAAGACACAGGTGAGTCACCTTTCTATCATACCAAGTTAGCTCACTGTATTGCTTAGCTTTTTAAACTACTTAGGTTTACCCTTGAAAAGAGATGAAGTCTCATCTTTATTTCACACACGTTCATCTAACAGTGCTAGTCTGCTTCCCAAATGACATCATTACCTGCAGCCAAGAGGCTAGATCTTATCATCAGTTATGATGTGCAGTGCTAAAAATCAGTGCCAGACTTGGAGGATCTTCCTGAATCAACAGCAGCAGGGAGGGAAAACGTCAAAAACCACACGTGCTACCCCAATAAGCTGAAATGAGCAAATCCTACTGAAGTATCTTTCAGATGTTAAAGAGTCTCCTCTACACCTGTGCTAGTGTTAGGAGCACCAAATGTAATCAGCAGTATCACATTAGTTTCCTGCAAGGTCCGCACCTGGAGCATGAGAAACTGAAGGAGTCCATCTTATAAATAACATACTCTACAAGTCTCACTTTACAAAAGGTCAGATTTGGTTAGTTTGCATCTAAAATGTAATGATAGAGGGAAAGACTACTCATTAACTTTCTCTTTAAAGAAGTGGGTTTTATCTTTCCTTGGGCTCTTCCTAAAAAAAGAAGTATCTTTTTATTCCAAGAGGTTTCTTGTGGCTTGACCATAAGTGTTCAGTGGGAGTTTGCTAATTTTATATATTTAAAGCAATTAACATTTGTTTTGTAAAGGCCACCTGTTAGCAATTCTAATGCTTGTTTCTGCTTATTGGACAGCTGGAAAGATACCAAACAGAACAAGCAAGAATAGTTCTATAATCATTATTAGCCTAGGATTACATTTTTCCCAGCCACTTTGGCTTGAAAATCCTTTTACCAACTGCTAATACCAATATGAGTATTTTTTTTAACCCACATTAAAAAAAAATAAAAAAATCTTAGCAACGTAGGACCAAAGATCTGTCCATTTTGCAGTCTTGCCCATGCAAAAGATAACAAGTATTTGTTCCCACTGCTTGTGTCCTCCTTGTCTGTTCCTTTTATTTGCTCTTCTTACATCAGGAGAGTCTGAGGATTCACTTCCTCTGGTGGCCTGCCAAAGCTCAGTAAGCAACAGGAAGCTGTCAGAGATACATTTATAGGGCCAGGCCTTCACTCACAGGATGGCTTCTAGCATGAAGTACAGTATGTGCAGAGACTAATACGCATAGTTTGTAGATGCAATTCACACAACTCAGAGCCCAGCCTAAAAATACTGACAAAGAAGCAACTCAGTGCTGAAGTGACAAGGGATATTTGTGCTCCTTAAATTAATTAAATTATCTCCCCTGCTTATGTACTGCAGAAATATTTGGTAGGGCCATGCACAGTCCCACACAGGTGTATGGATCCTTGGAGAAGGCACAAGGAATCTCTCACAGACTGCATGGCTCCCCACAGAGTCACTCTAATCTCATTTTCTCTGCATATCTTCACACAGCACAGAGGCTAGGCATACACAATTGGGCTAATCCATGATTTTTTTTCAGCTGCTTATAGCAACAAGAGACTACAGCACTGTACCTCCTTCAAAGGAGTCTTTACATTGCGGCATAGTGCTCTGGCGTTTAACCCTTCACGTGAATAGGGGTGCAGTTACCAAATGATGGATTGCTTTGGGCTGCGGGAGGTTGAGAGGCTGTCCCAAGATTTGACGTCCAAAGTATCTCCTCCAACTGCTTTCCTCAAAAAACAGCTCTTCTTGAAAGATCCATTTCTGGGAGCAGTTAGGGTCAATAAATCTGTTAGTTTATTTTAACAGCAGGGTGGATACTTCCCTTAGAGATTATATTTCAATCCTTTATCTTATTAAGGGAAGATGTATTTTGTCCATTAATCCAATTAGCTTTAATGGATTAATAAGATTGGGCTTGCTCTGTTTCAGGGAGCACACAAATAGCACTCAAGCATAATTAATCCTAAACTTAAGTAATGCTTGTAACAAGCATGCTATTTCCCTGCATATTCTATTAATTATTTTTACAAGCTATGCTCTCAAATTACATGATGTGAATTCTCGATTAGAATGTCTCAATTCATGACCAAAAAGCAAAACATTTACTTTCATATGTTTATAAAATTCTCTTTGTGCTAAATATAGGCAGGTAGGTTCCAGCCCAGAATAATGTTTTCAGTACTTGGGAGGAATCTGTTTGTTCAGATATAAAGGCATGAGAATAATTTGTCATTATTCTGACATCTGTCTTGGCAAAGCACACTTTCTGATCAGCACTATTCACATATAAATTCAACTGCGGGTTTGGGTGCTTCAACACTATAAACAACTCCGTCCTTTAGGTATATACAGAGCTCTTGGCATATTTTGCTGTTTGAAGCCATATGGTTCTTAACTTTAAACAGTGCTTTTATGTTACTGATACAAAAAACAGAGAAGCTTAGAAGAAAAAAGGGAAAGAAACTATCAGGAACAAACTCTGCTAGAACAGCACAAATTCCTGCAGTGGCATTGTTCTCATGTCTGTCTCTGCATGGTAAAATACAGCATCTGGTTTCCTGATAGAATGAAGCAGCTGTGGAAAATAAGAAGAGTTTGTTGACAGGCATCCTCGCTAACTCCAGAAGTTAATCAAAATCCAGCCATCTATCTTTGCCAATGGCTTGCGAGCAGCCTGGGCAGAACTACATTTCCCAGCGCCCCCAGTGGGGGAAGAGCGAGTCAGACCCAGGGAGCCAGCTGCTCCGCTGTTTGTTGTAGGAGCGGGGCTGCTAACCGAGGTCAACGCGGGACTCTCACACCTAGCTGATCCCTGCTGCTGGACACAGCACCCCTGAGCACAGTAAGTCGGGAAAACGTGTGGGAACGACAGGCCTAGATCCACCTCCTGCCAGCTGTACAGCATAGGTGAGACTTAAAGGCAAGATGGGAGTTTGGGCTGGCCTCCTAAGATCAAGTTTTTACTGTCTCCAAGTTTCCAATGATCCTAATCAAACTCTGGCACTGTGGTTCCTAGGAAGGAAGGGGTTAAACGCCTGCACATGTTGCATTTCATCATTCCAGGTACAAGCTATTCCTCTTTCCCTGCCCCAGTCACACTCTGCTGTTCATTCCAAAGTACAGAGCTCCTGAATTCAGCACAGGCTGCTGCTGTTCTGCAGATTTTCATAAGCCAGGCTCTATGAGACATGGGGGTGGAGAAGTGACGGACACATAATCATCACATCACAAAACTGTTTCAGACGTGGTCTCCGTGTTGGTGTCAGTCCTCGCATGCGTCTGCCTGAGCCTGCTGGCAGCATGCCGAGCTCCCATTGCTGTGGCTGCAGCACTGAGCAGGGATACCAATGCTCTCCCCAGCAGCTTCTGCAGCAGGCCTGGCTCCCGTGTCTCACCAGGGATCACTCTGGTGAAGACCACGCTCAGCTGAGACACTGGGAAAGAGGGATATGAGGCAAAGATGTCAGAAGCTGCAAGGCACAGCCTCCATGCTGCTTGCTACAGAAACTGCATGTGCAGATGGGAGCCTCTGCTCAGGCACCACTCAGGCTCTGGAGCCATCACTGACCTTTACTGAAAGGAGGGACTCTCAGGACTCTTCTTTGGCACTGCTTTTGTGCCTGTAAGTCAAAGCAAATGTAACTTCCTCCTTAAGGAGCTCCGAGTTCTCTGGCTGAAAAGTGAAATATTCCTAATAATTAAGGATTATGAATCATATTTATTTTTTCAGATGAATGCTAGAGATGGTAGCATTTCTGGCTATTTTCTGACATCCTGAAGTTGAGATCAGACTGCAGTCTGTGACTGCCTGAGCTGAAAATGTGGTAGGACTGTTTGGCACAAAAAGCATTCATAGCTGGAGATGGTCCAAGTCAGCTGCAACTGCTGTCTCTTGTCTAACTTGGGGAATTCTCTTCCACAGCTGATATTTTGTCTTTCATTCTCTTCTGGCATCCGTGCCTTTCCCACAGATCTACTGTGTACTGCAATAGGATGTTCAGTTGAATTGAGGCCATTACAAACTGTGTAGGAAACAAACAACAGAGCAGTCACCTTCACTCCTCTTTTCCCCACGGATACAGGAATTTAGGACGGGAACGTTCAATGTAGTCTTACTGCAGTTTCTGTAAGACTTGTGCACAGTCGCAGATGGAAACAAACTGAGGTATCTTTTAATAATCTTAAAGACTGCCTGAAACTGGATTTGATGTGTGACTAGAAGTAAAGACCACAGCAATAATTTTAGAAAGCAGATGCCAGTATTCTGCAGACTCTGTGAGAGGGAGATTTCTGCTAGTGGGTGTTTGCACCTTTAAATCAAACTTAACTTTGTAGGGCCTCTGCATTATATTCTATGCTTCTCTTTTTAGGCAGAGACAGCTACCTCTAGGTGTTGGTTATGGCTGCAATTTATCAAGCAGCATATAGAAGAGCTTCCTCTCTCATCTGCAGGTTACACTCTACCTATGTTAGAAAAATGAGGTAAGTTCTTGTGTACAGTGAGAAGACCAGAGTTTGGCACCCTTGTATCCACTGTCACAAGCAGCCCTACCTAAATCTTTTCACAGCTGAACAATGACGTAGTAATGCTATGAGAGCTCTGTAAATGATAACAGTTAGTAATGTCTCCACTCTGTTCACCAGTGATAAGAACTGGTTCTCTGAGGCTGAAGCTCTGTTAATAAATGCCTAAGTTTGCTCTCCTAGCAAAAGATCTCTTAAAGTACAAACAAACTTGAAGCAATGCTGCTCAACTCTTTAAATACTACTTCAAACAGTCTGAAAGCAGCACATCCTGACACCCTTTTTCCAGTGACTGCTTTTCCTAATTCAGGCCCCAGCCAACTGGGCCATAAGACTTCAGCTTGGTCTTTACCTCTCATGTCAGTGTGACAGATAGAACAGTAATGCATGTAGCCTGATGGGAAGAGTATTCCACATCTGAAGTGCTCAAGTAGCTTTCCAGAGACTTGGAGCCATCTAGATTGGGGGGAATAAAAGGGAAGATGAAGGTCTTGTGCACATAAATGATCATGTCTGTAAAGCAGACTTCTTGGATTAAGAGACTGGGTTACTGTTCTTTTTGGATGTCCAAGACCTGAGGCTGCTTGTGTAGTAACAACTGCAGTATTTTCTGCCACACAGCACCTTTGCTAAGGTCTACAGTCCACCAATGAGTGGACTCAGCTGTCAGAAACTCTAGAAGCTTATGGCATACATAAAATCTGTTCTGTCCATTTCTTCCCCCTGCTCTATGGAACATAAATATGTCCAATTAAGCATAACAAGGTGATCTCAACACGATCTTGAATTCATCTTCCCAATTCTTCTCTCACTTCAGATACTTAAATGAGTTAAAGGAAGATGACAGCCTTTGTAGAGAAGCCCAGACCGCAGGAACTTTCTACCTCTTTCACAATCTCTCTCCCTTCCTGCAGAAAGTTGGGGAAAAATATTTTGTACCACAGCTCAGTGCAGCAGGTAAGCAGGTGTCTGGAAATACCTCCTGGATCACACAACTGAAATGATAGAGAGTCCTTTGCAATAAGCAACACTTCATATGGGTGTTGAAAATCTGTCAAGCTGTGCAGGAATATCCTGCACACTCTGTTAACAACCAAAGGCTATTCAGACTTAAAACCTTGACAGGCAGACACAAGCTCATGCTCTTCACACACATACAGTACCAACATATACCTGATGTGTTTTGTGATGATCATTTTTAAACATTTGGGACCATGCCTATTGAAGAGAAAGGGCTGGCAGGGAAAATGCAAGGTCTATCTGATAAAGATTATTTGGTGTAACACAGGAGAAATTTTCAGTGAGAGAAAGGTGCTGGCTAGCGTAGGACAGAAAGAGAATGGACAGCTGCTTCCAAGGCATTACAGCATTTCCATCTTTAGCTTGACATGGTCAAAACTTCTAAGAGCTAAGAGGAAAGCCAGACTTCTGGTCTCCATTCAGGCGGGACCACGTGTCTAGTTCCCTCTCTCACATAAGCACCCTGCTCTGAGCTAAGATTGCATATGCCTTGAAGATCCAGAGAGAGCATAATGGTTGTATGAATGCACTTTCATCACAGATTTTTCTTCCCCTTTCCCCTGCTGTTTAGAGATTAAAAGGATCCTGGAGAAATTCAAAGAGACAGAGCAGTGGATAGAGAAGTCGGTGCTGATCGGTTGTTCAGACGAGCACGTACCACACTTTGCCCTGGATTTAGGTTGGGATTACTCCTCTTCCATCTGTGTCAGCATCACATTTGATGCACTAAGATGAAGATGCTGCCTAGGCAGCATCCCTAATCCTTGCTGAGTGAATATTTACTGCCAGAGTAGACTCAGTTGAGTCTCTATGGGAGCTGTTTTGAGTGGCGGGTCAGAGGCACAGAACTGTGCGTGTGTTAGTAAAGGTGGGCTGTTGGCAGGTCACTTAACATTTGGGAATGTTACCACTGATGTGGTGTCACTTCCACAGGAACTTCCAGAAATTGTATACCGGAACAATGTAGGGCGTAAAGTTGGGATAATAACTGTGATTTATGAGATCAAAGATTTTTTTGTTGTTGTTTTTTTTTAAACAGGAGCCTTGGAAAAATCAGTCATTGAGTCTCAACTCAAGGGATCGTTTACTAACTTACAAAAGGCTCTCTTCGTAGTGGATAGGAAGGATTCTCCTTTGCTGGCTTCGGTATTGTACAGGACTTCTTACTTTAAGAAGCTGAGATTTCTAACATTAACCTTTCTCCTTGTCTCCCATATTGTTTTATGATTTAATACATGTTGTGGAAGTATGTACTGCACACTTTCAGTGACCTAGGTACAAACACACTATAAATGACAACAATTGTCCCAAATTTGTGATCCCAAAAGCAAACTGCAATGGAAAGAGAAATAGACAAGTGGCTTAAAATAAATATCTGAACTAATTAGCCATTTAGCATCAACCTACTTCATGTCCAGTGTGAAACATACTGATATTATCAGCAGTTACAGCAATCCGAGTTTGTCCTCAGCTTAACAATTATCCAGCACTAGTTTCTTATAATCTTCTAGGCAAATTGAATTTCACAAATTCAATTCTGACCTTCTCTCAGAGCTGCTTTCAAAACTATTTACTTATCAGCTATTAATCTGCAGATACCCTACATTTGGAAGTCCTATGAAAAGACCTGTGCGTGAAAATCAGCTTGTCCTGACCCATAAGTAGAAACAGCTCATGTTTATTTTCCTGCTTCATAATGTTTGTGGTGCTTGGGCTATTTTTCAAGAAGGCAGAAATAAGATTTGTGTTTTTTTTCTTGGTGTTCGCAGGCTCAGTCCCTTCTCCAGTGGCACGATTCCCACCAGTACTGTAGCAAAACTGGGCAGCCCACTCAAAGAAACGTAGCTGGCAGCAAGCGTGTCTGTCATGCAAGCGGAATAACTTACTATCCACAGGTGAGCATATGAACAGCACAGGTAATCAACACAGGGACTCTGTGGTGACAAGCCAATGCTGCTGGGTCGCATAGAGGAGAACCTGTAAAAGTTTTGCACATACCTGGTTATTTTTTCTTTAGTGTACATTCAGTGACCCTCAGTGCACTAGGAAAAGCAGCAATTTGGTCTGAACTTCTTGCTTTGCTTTTTGATGCATTTGCTAGATGTCTCCAGTGATTATCACCCTGGTGTCTGATGGGAGCCGGTGCCTCCTTGCACGACAGCCCTCGTTTCCCCAGGGAATGTATTCTGCTCTGTCAGGCTTTTGTGATATGGGTAAGGTGGTCTCTGACCCAGCACAGTGGCCTTGGACATGCAGGGTATGGGGGAAGAATGGGCAAACATCAAATACATGTTCACAGAGAAGAATGGACAGACACACAAGTGGTATCAGGGAAAAACATATTGGATCTAAATAGCTCAGCCTTCCCATCCAGACAGAATTCAAAATAGCTGTATTTATCTGAAGAGAATGGGAATTATGGGTATGTATCAATGGCTGTAGTCCCTGTTGGTAAGTAAATACATGTATAAGACTCACCAGATCAGAACCCCAGATACTTTTTTAGTCCATTTTGTGTCTAGTACAGTCTGGCTCAGAAGAAAAAACTACAGACCTCTTGTTACACGAGACAAAATGGCTTAAAAAGGGAAATGATGAACAGAGGCAGCATTGTTCTGCCTACCAACTGTATATAGACACAGCAAAAATGTCTCTGATGTCTCTGCTTAACGAAGGTAAGCATTGTTGATAAATTTAATTGAGCATCCTGCTGACAAGCGTTTCCAGGTCAGCACAGCCAGAGCTCTTGCATGTGTGTGAGCAGTCAGGGCTGGAACACCTCAGAAATAACTGTACCTACATTTTCTTTGCATGGTTTACTGCCCTGAGGCCAGGCTGTTCTTACCTGACTATGGTTGCTTTTAGGTGAAAACGTCGAGGAGGCAGTCCATCGAGAGGTGGCAGAAGAGGTTGGCCTAGAGGTGGAGTCACTCTGGTACTCAGCTTCTCAGCACTGGCCCTTTCCCAGTAGCTGCTTAATGATAGCTTGTCACGCTATAGTGAGGGCACAGCAGGCTGAGGTGAGCAGACTTGGGTACCCCTGAGGCATTTCATTACTCACCTCACATAGCAAAGTATCTTTCAGTCTACAGACTCGAGTTTGGAGAGCAACAGATCCTCTCTAAATGCAGTTTTCCATGAGCTTTCTCTAGAAGTGAGGAACAAACTTCAAAATAATGGTATCTTCTGTTGCAACATGCCAGATTTTGCACAGATCTCTGAACATGTACAAACTCACAGCCTAACACCCCTGATTGTTTTTCCTCTGAACTTTGCAGAGGAGATACTCTCTAGTATTAATATGATATTTGCCATTAATATCACATTCTGTCACATTAATTACCATGCTTAGCCACTGATACTTTGCAGTCCAGTGCCATGATGGAATAGGGCTGATTTGTGGATTCCCTAAGGAAACCAAGACAACAAAACACTGGTGGGTAGTAGTGTCCTTTCCTCTACTGGCTTCAGCACTTAATCCCGGTATGGATAAAGCACTCTGGGAATTCTAACATAGGAACTTTGTGGGTGCAAGAACAAGCAAGGTACTGCTGCCCATATTTAAATCTGATTTAAGGAACTGGTATTCTCTGAATTCTTTCCAGATCAGTATGAACAAGCTGGAACTAGAGGAAGCCCGTTGGTTTGGCTTGGAGGAAATTGTGGAGGGTCTCAAGAGACAGCCCAGATCTTCAAAGCAAGATGATGGTAGTTTTTTACCCTGGTTTCCTCCCAAACAGGCCATTGCTCACCAGCTGATTTGTGAGTGGGTTAAGCAGCAGACTTCCTAGCTGGCTTAGACATGTCTTCATCAAGTCTGGGATTATGCCAGAACTATGAAAGTTCAATAAAAAAAGCTTCCAAAGTTACTGAAGGCAAAGTCTATGTTACAGTGAGGATAGCACCACACTGATGGCAGTCTTACACTCCGATATATAGACCTACAAAGCCATTTCTAAACTAATCATCCTCAAATAATTCCATGAACACTAGATCACCTTTGAGATCCCATGTCTTGCTGTAAGCATACAATAAAATTCTTGGTTCCAAAGCATCATGCTTACTGTGACCAGCTGCTGCTGTTGCCCAGCAATCAACAGAATAATGAGCCCCTGGCACCTGTCTCATTTTTCACCATTTGTCCATCTTGGATGGATATCAAATGCACACCTTTTCCAGAAAAAAATAAAGGGACAGTGGCACCTTTCAGTGTTCACATTTATATGGATCTGGAAGAATTCTTAAACAAAAAAAACAAACCAAAACAAACTCCCCAAAAACCATAAGAAAAAACACAGTCTGTATGCTGTCCCGTTCTGCTTCCTTTCCCATTCAATCTTCCAGTTTCATGTAAAACATCCAGGTTTTTTTTAATGTTAAAATAGGCTTTTACTTTGTTTATAAATCTGAGTTAATAAAAATGTCTTCAGAAGCACCATTTCCTCACCAGTAAGACAGTGTTACTTCCATCCCAAGGAAGAGAGAACAGAGCTATCTGCTGGTAGAGACTGGAAGAGCAAAACTTACATATAAGTAAGACCCAAGATAATGCAAAGGTGAGAGGAAATGCTGCAAGAAAGGACTGCACTTCTGACATAGAAAAAATCCTAAAAGGTACAATGCCTCTTACCCTGTGCCAGTGTTTGTGGCTTGCCTGCAGAGATGGTCTCATTATACTGATGAAATTGCATCACTTCTCTGGAAGGAGAGTGACAGAGATAGCCTGGGTAAGGAAAGCTTAGCAAGAGACAGATGGAAGCTTGATCTGCTGCTGATTCAGGCTGGCAGTCCTTTCTGCCTATTTGATCAGAGTTTCAATGCAAAGATTGCAGGTACAGATACTTGAACGGGGAACAGGAATGCATCACTGATTGTCACCATCAGGATTCACTGCAGGTGAAAGAGCTTTTCAGCAATGGTAAAAATCTGAAGTCAGGACAGCTGAGCAGTAAGTAAAAAGAAGGTTTTCTCACACCACTTAGACACGCTTTGTTTCCTCGGGTTGATTTTACTTTAGGAGGTTGGGAAGGGATTCCTTCAGGACACGTTGGCATGGGCAAACACCCTTCCCACCCTCTCAGTCAATAAAATGCATATGATAGAGCATATTTTTCGTGTTTGTGAACTCCGTCAGTCATCCTGGTAAGAATGTGTGCTGGTACAGCCAAGGGCATTACTTCTTCCCCTCCAGCCCAGCCAGACACACCACAGAAGCCCATACACCACTGAACTTAACTACAACACTCCTGCATCCAGTTTTCTTTGGAACATGTCCTGCTGTCTCTCTTCACAGTAATCCACCCTGCTTTCTCTCCCATCACACCGTTCTAATTCCTTAGCATTTACCTCTTCATCTCTCATCTCTGAAATCTGCCATTTTCATTTTCAGCTTCACTCCTTTCTTTCCCTTCTCTGCAGTAAAAGATACTGAAGAGTTAAGATACCTACCAGCAAGATACCCCGCTTCTCATCCTCCTTCCCACTTCTCCTTAATGCCTTCCAAGCTCACCCTTAAATAGTTCATTAATGTGCCCCAAGTATGCTTCCAGTCCAATATCCAGCTCAATGTACTTAGTACTTTTAATATCCACACATGATGTGTTATCCCAGTGGCAGAAAAAGGACTAAAAAGTGAAAGCAAAAAGTAGTGCCTATGAGGGAGAGGAGACATAACTGTGTGACTTCTGCAGTAATGTGAGCTTTGTGTGCTTTGGTTTTGTACTTTTACAGTACTTACCTGCAGTGTTTGTCTTTGTCAAACCAGCTCCAGTGTGATCAGATCTACCATCAGAGAAAATTCTTCTGTGTTTGGGAAATGCTGGGTTACTCCACTTACCCAGTTATGTTTTTTAATATCAACACTGCAGGCTATCAGTGAGCTCTAACTGAAAGAAATCAAGTACTGATGTTCTGACACCAGCTCTTTCTGAACTGTCATTTCTACACTGCTGATACAGACCTGTCTTGGGAGGGTGTCCCTTTGGGGTGATGTGGCCACCACAGCAGAAGGCAGCTGGTCACAGGAGGTGTGTTCATTACTGCTGCCCCCTTGCTTGATGCTCATGGGCCAGACACTGCCCAGGCTATCCGCAGACTTCAGGACAACTCACAAGAGTTGCAGTCTGTCTAATACTCTGACTATACCAGGCTTTTTCAGATTTCATCAGTTACTGCCTATTTTCTACAAGAAAAAGTTACAGGAAAATGTTCTCGTTTGTTTCTGTGACTCACCTTTTAAAACACAGATTTAAAGGTCTGCATGTTCCTTTTAATTATCAAAAAGAAAAAAAATCCTTACTCCATACCTTTTTGACTTGGGTATAAAACAATGGTGGCCTCTGTTCCTGATGTTAAAAGAAAGCAGGAATGATTACAGAGAATTATAGGCAATACAGCTATGAAAAGAACAAAAAAACAAGTTGAGAGAGACATTGTTCTCACTTGCATTCACCTCAGAAAGCTGGCTGAAGCCTTAGTAATACTCACTGCAGTCAAGAAGGAACATGCACCATAAAGGCGGGTGACCTGGAAAAAGAAACAAGACAATTCCTGACAGAAGCTGCTTCAACAAAACACAGCAGGGCTTTCCCATGGAAAAAGTATCAGGCAGGCAAAAGGGACTTAGCAACGTATTTTTCTCAAAACCACATCCATTAAATGAATCTCTCTGTGGACACTTGACTTGTGTAAATCACTGAGACTCCACTGCCTTCAGAGACTGCCAGGGCTTGGGACTGACAGCAAGACCTCTACCACTGAAAAGCAGTCAGCATGTGGCACTACAACCCAGTTGTTCACAAGTATTACCAGCTTGCAGGATACATGGGCAGCCATAAAATAATAACATTCAGCTAATTAATTTGAAATAGCTTTTTGGAGAGCAATACAGGCAAGTTCAAAGCAGCATTCCATCTACCTACTGAAAGCAGCAGGGCATAAAAGTTATTTTTATCTCCAACAGCTGCTAGCAGAGGATTAAAGTAACCAAACTTCATGACACAACTTGTCTATCTCTGATAGAGGGAGCTCTGAAAAATCCTACCTGGAAATGGGGTGATTGAGAATTCACTTACCACATGCTCTCCCATCACCTTGGTCTACTCTGCTGCTGCATGGAAAGGTCACATTTTCCTACCCACAGGGGTACTCATCCATTGTGAATGGCAGAAAGTCTGACTTCAGCATTACAGGTCAAGGAAGAAGCTCTTACACTAAGTTACTTCACCTTAAAACATGTTCTGAGATGCAGTGGATGCATCCCAAATCTCATGCTTAGCCTGAGATGTTATATGAGTACTTAATGGAACACCCTGACAACATGACTGCATTAAAGTGATTTTTCAAGTAATCATTTTTCAAGTAACCATGGGCAGTTCAGCTCTTGCAGCTGCAAGGGACAGGTTGTCAGAACATGTAATTAAACTAACACTATTCACGTGCTTCATTCTGAAGCACTGCTGAAATGACTTACGGGAAAATATAACCCCCATTTTCAAGAAGGGGAAAATGATGACCCGAGGAATTACAGACCAGTCAGTCTCACCTCTGTGCCTGGCAAATGCTTGGAGCAGATTCTCCTGGAAGGCATGCTAAGGCACATGAAAATCAACAAGTTTGGCTTCACTAAGGGGGAAATCCTGCCTGACCAATTTGGTGGCCTTCTATGGTGGGGCTACAGAACTGATGGATGGGGTAAGAGCAGTTGATGTCATCTACCTGGACTTGAGCAAAGTGTCCCACACAACATCCTTGTCTCTAAATTGGAGCGACATCCGTTAATTACTTTGCTTTTTAGCTACAGTTACACATCAGAAACCTGTAGGTTGTTCATGACACCTTTCTCTATTAACTGCACTCCACAAACAGTTCCCTAGCCTGGAAGCACAGCCAGCGCACATTCCTACATCTGCCTCTATCCTATTTCAACAGGACAGGCTGTTACTGTAAGTTACTATAAGAATTCAAAGACAAAATAAACTGAATCATGACCACAACAGCAATCTCAGTTATCTGCCCTGAAAGCACTGTTTTGCTGTTAACTATCTACTATTGGCACCTGGAATTTGTTAAAGATACCTTTTCTGTCCTCAGGAGGTGGTAATCAGGTTCCTGGCGGCTGAGGAAAACACTGGATGCACACCATCTAAGGTGATGTTTTAGGCTTCACACCCTTGACTTCATACTCTTGAGCAAGTCACTTTTTTCAATGGCTCTGTATTCTGCTGTCGAGGCCGAGAAGCCCAACTGCCCTCCATGGTGGTATTTTCTTAGGGGAATAAACAAACTTAGAAAAACTAATGAATTTCCATCTTAGACTTGCCAGGACAGATGCTTTTACGTTCCATTCCAAAGATGTAAATGGCAAGAGAGAGGGCAGCTGTTGCTGTAGCTTTTGCAATACCCCAAGGGATCCCGAGGTGGTACAACAGGCCTGTCCTGACTCTTGCTGCTATTAAAAACAAAATCCAGTTTCTCATAGGAGTTAGACAAGTAGCTGCAGCATGAGCTGCACAAAACATTGATAAGAAATACTTCTCCACAGCTGCAACTAATACATGCCCTGGAGATAACTGTTACTCCTATACTTTAGCATTAGATAGGGAAAGCAGGAAGCAAGTGTCCTGCAGGGAGGTGATCTTTCATGGCAACAAGGGAGGCTGATACCCACTTACATACCAAGGATGTAGAAAACAATTAATTTGCAGGAGACCGATCAGTATCACTGACATTAAACTGCCCTTGAACACAGCGTGTTCAATAGTTAAATACCATTCCTCCCAAGCAACACCTCCTCTCCACTGACCACAAAGGAGTTAGACTGATGCTAGAAACACTGCTAGCTTGTGGATCCCTGTCTTCTGAGGTGACC